GGAAGAATAAAGAATGTTACACTGTTTACAATTTTAAATAAAAACTATACAAACATAGCCAGGATTCAGCTGTAAGCATTTGCAACACTTACAACAATCAAGTAACATACATTCATATAAAATGTAAGTTAATTAGCCAGTCAATGTAATGACAGGAATGAATAAGTAGATAACTTCCTAATTCCCACGGTATTAGGGAGCTATCTACTAAAAGGCTGAAAGACCTGAATTGGTCTTTCAGCCAAATTTACTAATACTAAATAAAGATTACTTAGTATTAGTAAATTATGCCTCTACTCGCTATACCGCGAGAAGGGGCATGTCTATTAAACAGTGAACAGCCTTCTAACCTGAAGGGGGCCCTATTGCCCCCCTGGTCCCCACCCCTGAATAGGAGGTGGGGGCCCTACAGTAATATAAGGGGGGACCTAATGTCCTCCCCCTGGCCCCCACCTCTGAGCGGTGGGTGGGGGCCCTAAATACTAATAAGGGGGGGGACCTAATGTCCTCCCCCTGGCACCCACCCCTGAGCAGTGGGTGGGGGCCCTAAATACTAATAAGACGGGGGACCTAATGTCCTCCCCCTGGCCTCCACCCCTGAGTGGTGGGTGGGGGCCCTAAATACTAATAATGGGGAGGAAACTAATGTCCTCCCCCTGGCCCCCACCCCTGAGCAGTGGGTGGGGGCCCTAAATACTAATAAGGGGGGGACCTATTGTCTTCCCCCTGACCCCCACCCAGGAGCAGGGGGGTGGGGGCCCTAAATAAAAATGTTACCCCTGTGGCGAAACCAACCTCGCCACTGTACACTGGAGAAGCCTGGTTGCTCGCCTGCTCCCTTTAGACTATGGCCCTGCAGTTCAGACCTGTTATTTTCCCTGCTGAAAGGTTTATTCATGCCTTTCTGCCTGGGTGTTCGGTAGATTCCATCTACCGAACAAACTACCGAACGATGGACCACCTGCTAGCTGGAGTGTGCCGTCAATTGACCGCCCAGAAGCTGCAGTTAACCACATCTTAATTGATGAACGCTGGGTGGCCTTTGTTCGTCTGCCGAACACGTGGCATCGGGTATTTTACCTCCCGAACGGCCAGCAGTGTTCAGCGCCCAAACTATGGAACTGAAAACGGACACTTATTGGCGCGAACACCGCTGATCCGCCAGCCTCCTTACCTTCCCATTCGGTAAGTAGAACCGAATGACTGTTCATTCGGTAGTTTCGCTGGATGAACAGCATCCCCCAGATAGCTAAGCCATGGAGCCTATTCGTGTAACAAAAGACTATGTGAAGGACTTTGGCTCCATGGAGATTGAATTGTATGTATGCGATCTGAGCGCCATTCGGTAATAATGTGCGCTCAGATCTGAGCTATCTGGGGATATGTAGAACGTATATGTTTTATGTACTGAATGTAACTGTAGGTAATTTTATGTCTTTTACTGTTTGTTTTCTGCCATGTGGTTAATGGAGTTTTGCCTCTGTCTTTGGAGATAATTGAATTACTTCCCAATTATCTCCAGGGCAGAGAGGAGGGATTGTGATGCATTGTGGGATGGTTGAAATGTGTAAGTCTGTGATTGGTCCTTTTACCCTTTGTGTCCCAGTCTCCCATATGGTCCCCTAGGGGAGTGTCCACCAGGTGGGAGACCTGCATAAAAGCCGGGCAGTTAGCCCCAGTAAAGCAGATTCTGCTTGACCCTCAAAACGAAGTGTCGTCTCGTCTTTGGGGGGGATTTGCTGTGTGCTGTTAGAGACTGATTGCCAGGAGTGTAAGCTGCTTGGGGGCTTTTCCTGTTCGTCTGCTAGCAGCTATTCGTGTGTATGCAGTTCGGGAGTTTCGAGTTTCGAAAAAAAAACTTACCATTTGATGTTTTCTTTCTTTGAAGATCTTTTTTCCATGGACGTGACACCAGGGGAGAGTTCAACGTATATTTCTCTTGTATAAAGCCACAGTTGGTTTTGGAAACTGACTTCATTGTGTGTCACTGAGGGAAACATTGCAATGGTTACAGCAGCTCTGTCACTCTGCAAATTTTGTTTAAAATAATTATTTCTCTGTCAAACTATTTATATTTGTTTTGTTATTTTGAAAGCTTAAAGGGACACCATAGTCACTGAAACAACTTTAGCTTATTGAAGCATTTGGTGTATAGATCATTTCCCTGCAGTGTCACTGCTCAATTCTCTGCCATTTAGGAGTTAGATCACTTTATTTATGCACCATAGTCACACCTCCCTGCAGGTGACTTGCACAAACTTCCTTATCAATTCCTGTAGAGAGTCATCTAATGTTTGTACTTCCTTCATTGCAAATTCTATTTAATTTAACATTTATTATCCCCTGCACTGTTGATAGCTTGCTAGACCCCACAGAAGCATTCTGTGTATGATTAAAGTTCACTTTAGAGAGCAGGCAATAAGAACATTAAAGTAAGTTACATCTAATTGAAAGTGAAACTATTTTTTTTAAATGCATGGTGTGTGAGTCACAGCCAGAGGAGGTGTGACTAGGGCTGCATAGACAGAAACAAAAGGAATTTAACTCCTAAACTGCAGAGATTTGAGAAGTGAGACAGCAGGATCATGATCTATACACTAAAACTGCTTCCTTAAGCTAAAGATGTTTTGGTGACTATAATGTCCCTTTAAGCAATGTTCCATTTCAGCTTCTAAGTCAAAAGAATCTCACAGAAAGCAAACTGCAGACGTCTTGGATTAAGAGGAACAAAATGGAGGCGCCCAGGTAATGAAATACAACACAAAAAGAGAAAAAATAAATATAAATAAAGGCAAGTAGCAATAGGAGGAATATAATCATTAAAGGAGCACTATAGTGCCAGGAAAACAAACTCGTTTTCCTGGCACTATAGGGTCATTAGGTCCCCCCACCCTCATGGCCCTGGGCTGAAGGAGTTTTTCAGCCACTTACCTTTCTCCAGCGCCGAGCTCCCTCGGCGCTGGGGCACTCTCCTCCTACTGCCGACTTCAGTGCTGAATGTGCATGCGCGACAAGAGCCGCGCACGCATTTAAACCACCCATAAGAAAGCATTACACAATGCTTTCTTATGGACGTCAGCGTCTTCTCACTGTGATTTTCACAGTGAGAAGCGTGGAAGCACATCGAGTGGCTGTCAATGAGACAGCCACTAGAGGCTGGATTAACCCTAGTGAAACATAGCAGTTTCTCTGAAACTGCTATGTTTTCAGCTGCAATGTTAAAACTAGAGGGACCTGGCACCCAGACCACTTCATTAAGCTGGTCTGGGTGCCTATAGTGGTCTGTTAAGATACAAGGGGCATAAAGAAATGAAAACTAAAAGAAAAAAAGACATCTTTAAGTGAGATACACAAGTGGTTGTTTAGATATATTTATTACTTCATGTGGGAGAAGCCCCAATTCACACTTTTAAGTAACAGAGGCTTTTATTAGAACTGTAGGACTACAAAGTGTAAGCTCACCTGCCAACAATAAGGCAGAGCACTAAAAAAATACAGTGATTTTATCTTTCAGAGGACACAACTAAGGTCACAATTTAAGGTTTGTTCTGCTTATACAGTGGGGTTGAATACTATAGCAAATATTGCTGCCTAAAAGTGATGAGAGTTTGAGCACAGGCCTAATATATGTGTTTTAACTGCTTTGGTATCTCAGTGCTTTATTATAGTACAGTCACCCGATGTGCTCCGTGTTTAGGGTTAATTATTAATTTTATCATAAAACTCATCCTATCTCACCGCCAAGCTACACGCCACATTTTACTATAATGAACAATATTCATTCAAAGGGCAATTCATTTTATTCATAAAACAATCTGAAATGTGATTAGTTTTAATAAAATCACCATCACAATTGCACATAAAAAAAATACCAAGTTATAAAGTGAGGAGCGAAGTATCAGTCCATAGTACACCACTAAGGACATTGCTGCCTGATAAATCAGAAGATAAGGAGTTAATTATTTTCCAATGTACTCCCCTTTCTAGTAAATCCATTATCCAGACATTAAGTGAAAGTGAAACGAAGAAGACAGGTGGTTGGACATGGAGAAATGGAGATATTTGCTGCTTCTATTCCTGCAACAGATATGTAAGTTTTTACTGAATTCTGAATATTCTGGAGGAAAATGAAGGGTCTGTTGTACAAAGGGGAGAGATTAAACTGCCCAGGAGAAAAAAGTCAGGAGAGAACTTAAAGAGACAGGATTGTAATGAGATCTGGACTTGTAATAACAGCAGACATTCTTTACATGAAATATATTATCCAGGGCTTGACAAAGTAAAAGAGAGAGAGAGAGACATTATCTGTAAGCGTACTTGACACACCAATCTGTTTCTTCATAAAATCATTTGTGTTTTAAATTCCAGAATTCCAATTCCATAATTTCAATCTGTATTGCTTCTGACGTGAAGATGGGAAGGCATATTTAAATGTGTGTATGCAGGGCTGATCATTGTGCTGAACAGTGTGTGTGCGGGGGATGCCAGTGAGTGTGTGTGTGGGGGGATGAGTGCAG